GGCACTGCTCTCACCCCGCGGGCTCTGTGTCTCTGTTGTGCCCGGCGCCGCCGCAGACCCGACGAGGAGCCCATGGAGGAGGAGCCGCCGCTGTAGCCTCCCGCGCAGCTGCGGGCCTCTTGTTTGTTTGTCCCGTCTCGAAGCTCCGCCGACAAAGCTCCTGTTTGTGTGCGGCCTGCCCGCGTCCTCTGACCGCGGCTGGAGCGGCAGGGGGAGGCCTCCGCCCGCCCGGCCCGGCTCCCCGGCGGGCAGCCCTGCGCGGACCGGGACCCACTGGCAGCCGGGCTCTCGGCTCCCTCGACGGAGGCCACGGAGGAAGGAAGCCTGTGGCGGCTCGCGGCAGAGCTGCCCGCTCCGTGGCCGCGAGGGAAGGAAGACGCAAATCAAAGATCTAATAATACAAAACAGACTCAATGAAAACTGGTGCTTACAGTTGATTATTACCCACAATTCCACAGTCTCCGTGTAAACCACTCAACGCATCCTGTAGCTTCTTTTGTTCAAGAGAACGTTCTCCCGGGCGCCGGCCCGTCCCAGAGCCCAGCGGTGCACCGCGGCGCGTGCAGGGGGGCCTGTGGCGGGGCAGGGGGCCGGGGCGGTGCGTGCGGGGGAAAGCTGGACGCACACCGAAGCGGGAGCCTGCGGGAACTGGCTTTGGTTTCTCCAAGCCATCGGAAGATGTGAGTTTGTGCCTTTTTTTTATTGCTCTGATGGATTTTTGTGGCTGGGTTTTCTGACGTCTGAGGAACAATGCCTTAAGAAAAAAATAAACAGCAGGAATTGGTGGGACAGTTTCCTGTGGCTGCGTGCTGGCCCGGGGTGGGGGGGCTCTGGGGGCCGCCGGCCTGCAGGCCCGGGTTCGCTTTAGTGCTGTTTAAGAGAAACGGAGGTAGTTCCAGCAAAGTGGCAAATACTGTTGGGGGTTTTGAAGTCCAACAAATTTTAAATGAATCCAAAGTGTTCTTTTCTCGTACATCCTATAACAATTGAGCATCTCCATTTGGTTGTGAAGCATGTCCTAGGCACACTTCCAGTGTTATGATCGGAATGCTTTTTATTAAAAGCAAGTAGCATGAAGTATTGCTTAAATTTTAGGTATAAATAAATATATATATGTATAATATATATTCCAATGTATTCCAAGCTAAGAAACTTGATTCTTATGAAATCTTGATAAAATATTTATAATGCATTTATAGAAAGAGTATATATATATAATAAATGCAGATCGTAAAGGTCCCTGGCGAATGAATGACTTGTGAATTAGACATCAAGGTGCTTACGGAAAGGGATCTCGTTTGAAACTCACGTATTTTTGAACTCCAGATTGGATAGCTTTCAGATCGCCAACACGTTCACCGCTGGGCAGCTACCCAGCAGGTGTGTGCTTTCATTCTGCTCTTTTCGGACAGGACCCCTCCCGCTCCAAGCCTCCGTGCACATATGTACCTAATGAGTTTTTATAGCAAAGGATATAAATTTGTTGTTGATTTTTGTATGAATTTTTCACAAAGAGATCCTGAATAAGCATTGTTTTGTGAATTTTACATTTTTTCTCACCATTTAGCAGTTTCCTGAATGGTAACAATGTCTAAGATTTCTTTCTTTCTAACTTCTTGCTTGTACATTTTTTTTTAACTTTTAAAGGTTGTGTTTTTTTATCATTTTCATCCTTGTTCATTTCTGTACAGTGAGCAGTGTTGTGTGGCAGCCATTTTCGGAAAGTGAGCTCGTGCGAGTCGGGGGACGCGTGGTCTCCACGGCGACGCCAGCAGGGCGTCTGTCCCGGCTCCGTCCCCGCGGCTGCGTCCAGACCGGGGGCTCCTCTTCCCCCCACATCGGCAGTATTACGGGGGTGCTGTGTCCTCCCCTCCGCCGCGCTGTGGGCAGGGTCGCTCGCCAGACACCGCGGGCCGTCAGCACTCACGAAACTCCTGTTTCAACTTCTCTGACCGCGTTGTCAGGACAGCATTTTAAAATTCAGTTTTCCAAAGACCTTTTAAAGCATGTCAGCAATGCATGGGGCCCGAGTGAGGCCCACACCTGTTGGGGGTGTCCCCTGCTGCAGCCACATGGCCGGGGTCCTGGCCGGACGCAGCAGGCCCCGGGTTTTGGAACCTGTGGCTGCGGGGAGTCGAGGGGCCCCTGCTGCCTGGCGAGCCTGCAGGGACAGCACGGATTCCTGACCAGGGCAGCCAGTCCTCACTCTTTCTCTCGTTGACAGTAACTGACCGTCACTTTTTCCTGGTAACTTATTTTCCAGCACTTGAAGCCACCAATTTCATTCCAAAGCATGTACTGGGTTCAGGCACAGCGCTCCCGTAGGAGGGAACCCCGAGCCGCGTCCCTGAGTTTAGTCCCGTTCACAGGGTAGCTTCTGAAGGAGACACTGATGCAGCCGGACTTCCGGCCAAACGAATCCAAATTTTTGGATTGGCTTGGTCGTCGGGATGCTGGTGGTCAGGCCCAGGACGGCGGTCCCAGAGCAGGACAGAAGGTCTCGGGGCCCGTGTGGCTTTCTCCTCCCACTGACCCCACTTTGCTCGGAAGCCCACCTCGGCGGGAGGCGCCGGTGTGTGGGACCCACGTCGGCCGTCGGGGCCGTCGGGGCATGAGCGCGGCAGCAGGGCCCGGCCCCTGCACGGCCTGTGGGACCCCCCTGCCACCTGCCGGCCGTGGCTCTTAGAGAGGAAGAGGTCATCTCACGCTTTTTACGGGTGACTGGGTGAGGGAGTTATCCGCGGCGGGCTCACTCCCGGTCTCCTTCGGGGAGATGCCCTCCGCGGAGAGGCCTGGCAGGGGAGCATGCTGCGTTGGTCAGCTCGCTCCAGCGCCAGAGACGTGCTTAAAGCATTACCGTGTAGCCTTTTCTTTTCTTTGAAGACACACTCAGCCCTTCCCGCCGCCAGCCGCAGCGCGGGCGGCGGAGGGCCTGCCCCAGGGTCTGCGGGACCCCACGCCAGGGAGGGCGCCTCACCTGCCCTCTCTGGCCCCGGCACCTTTAGCCTTTTTCTTCCTTTGCAAAGGCCTCGGGGGCACTGGCCAGCCAGGGGTCAGCGAGCGAGCACTTTATGTCCCTTCGTGGGAAACCCCACGGTGCCGCCGGGACACAGGGCGCCCGCCCTTTCGGCTCCAGCCGCGCCACGACGTGCCCGAGCCCCACCAGCAGGCGGCCGCCAGCCCCTCGGCCCCGAAGGGCCACTTTGTCAGAGTGTTTCGGTTTTTCTCCACTTCTTTTAAGTCTGTTTCCAGAGGAAGGACCGCCGGGCGTTGCTCGGACACGAACGCAGCGCCCGCGGCAGCGTTTCTGGGTTTTACTTTGAATCAGAACATTCCTTCTTTACTGGTCACAGCCATGTGCTCATTCCATTCTTTTTGTAGACTTTTGGGCCCACGTGTTTTACGGGCATTGATACATATATAAATATATATATAAACATATATGAATATATTTTTTTAAGTTCCTACAGCTGGAGGTTGCATGGACTCTATGACCGGCATGTCTTTATATTGTACACAGATTTTGCACGCCAAACTCGGCAGCTTTGGGGAAGAAGAAAAAAATGCCTTTTTTGGTTCCCCTCTCACGACATTTGCAGATACAAAAGATGGGAATTTTTCTGTAAAACCACACGAAACCTTGAAGGCGAGTCGGGGGTGGGGGGGGAACGTTTGCGTCTTCTTGAACTTATTCTTAAGAAATTGTACTTTTTATTGTAAGAAAACTAAAAAGGACTACTTAACACATTTGTCATATTAAGAAGAAAAGTTTATCTAGCACTTGTGACATACCAATAATAGAGTTTATTGTATTTATGTGGAAACAGTGTTGTAGGGAAACGACACAGAAGTCAAGGCGATCTGCCCGTCTCTCTTCAGTTGACTTGGAGGCATTCGTTTCGTTTGTGCCCTCTGCTCTTGCACAGGGCCCGGCGGGCCGGCGGCCAACGGCCCCGACGGAGGAGCGGTCCGGCCCGTGGCCCGAAAGCGCCCCTTTCCGCACAGCTGTATTGACTTTCTCGTTGCTTTTGGATGACGCGTGGCTAAGAGTTCACTTGCAGCCGCGCGGCCGTGAGCCAGGGGGAGCGCCGCGGCTCACAGTCCGACTTGGCGTCCGGAGGAGGAGGCCGCGTGTCCCTGGTCACCGAGCCGCGCTCCTTCCCCACGCGGCTCGCGGCCAAGTCCGACGGGATTGAGCGTCTCCGAGTGGAAGAAGAAGAAAGCGGACAGTTTGTTTGTTTGGGTTCTCGGTGTGTGTACCCCACGGTGGAGGCGCTGTTCTCCAGTTTATGAGACGTATATATAATATATATAAGGGGGCTGACCCTGTTCACCCAAGAGCTTCTCGCAGACGGGTCGCGGTGCCGCGGCCCCCGTGGCACCTGAGCACGCTCCACGTGGGGTCCGCCGCGGTGGCGGCCACCTGTTTCTTCTGTAATGTAATCCGTTCTCTCTGATCGTCTGGACTTTCCAACGGTTCTTTCTTTTGCTCAGTGGAGTTGGAGATTTTGTTCTCGGTTTTCTCATTCTCGTTTTGTTCTGTGTGGGCGGGTTTTCCCCGACAACGGTGTCCTCCTCTGACGGCCGACTCCATTCCACTTGCCCCGGAGTCCAGCGTTTTGTACCTCATCAGACAGCTTGTCGCTCTTGTGGTGTAAATAAAACAGCATCTCTGGTTCCTGCCGTGTGCTCGCGTCCTCGCTGCCTCTCGCCAGGGCCCCCACCCCGGGCCCCCCTGTCGCGGGCCAGGACTTGCTTGAACCCACACATGTGGCCCCCCGGGCCCAGGCCCACAGTGCACCTGGCACCCTCTGCCCACACCAGTGGGTCCTGTGGGCAGCTCCTCACTAAATGTCCTTGCTCCATCTTCTTCCCCAAAACACTCGCAGCCGCCCCCGAGGGAGCGAGTCTGCAAACCCCCCTCGGCCGCCCGGCCCCCAGCAGCACACTGCCACCCCCAAGTGACTGCCCCACGCCCCCAGCGAAGGCCGCACCCCTCCCAGGCCCCCACGTTCAGTGACTGATCCGTTGGCATGGGGGGGCGGGGGCCGGCTGGGACCATTCTCTCCCCTCCCCGTGGGTCCCGGCCTGCTTCACAGCCGGGCTTCTCCCTCTGCCCGGCCGTCTCCTTCATAAACACAGTGCACAGCAACATGGGGTCTCCAGGCGGTCACCGGCCCGCTTGCTGTGGGCAGGAGCCCGGGTGCGGCTCAGCGGGACGCCTCTGGCTCAGGGTCCTTCCCCAGGCGCCAGTCACACTGTCGGCAGGGCTCGTGTGGGGGACCCCCTTGCAGCGCACTCCCCCGGTGGTGGGCAGGCCCCCTTCGCTCGCCACATGGGCCGCTCCTCAGGGCCGCCTCGCCACCGGCCCCCAGAGCGGGGGAGGCAGGGAGAGCGCACCCCAGAGACGGCCACGGCCTTTTATCACCCACTCTCGGCGGTGAGGTGCCGTCACTCAGAAGCCAGTCAGGAGGCCAGTCCACACTCAGGGAGCGAGGGTGGCCACGGGCGTCCACACCACACCCACACCGGGCAGAACCAGCCGCCTGGCCTGGCCGGGCTTCATAGGGTTTCTTGCAAACCCTAGCAGCTTTGCCTTCAGAATATGCTGGTAATTCACTCACCTCTCTCAGGCCGCTCCCCCTGCTCCTCCCAACCCGTAGACTCCCCAGCACAGGAGCCAGGCTGACCCTGCTGAGGCTGGACGCTGGGCCGGCGCCCCAGACGAGGTCGTTCTCTGCCGGCTTGTCGGCCTTGCCCACTGGAATGCAAGCTTTGAACCTCTTAGGGTCACTCCTGTCTCCCCAGAGATTAAAACATACTAGGAGCTCCACAAACAGGTGGAGTGAACGATTCATTCTGGGGCTCGGTCTTCTCGGCCCATTCACCTGTTGGTTGTGAGAGTTGGGAGGTAGAGCTTTAAAATATATGTTGGTGCCAATCCCTTGTCCAGTGCAAGTTTCAAGTACCTTCTCACCCTGGGATTCTTCCCTGTCTTGTTAATGGAAAAAGTCAAACATGAGAGAGGTGCAGAGAGCAGCCCCGAGATCCCGCGTGTCCCCCCGGCCTGCCCCCAAGTGTGCTCGGTCTGCACCCCTCCCCACGGGCAGGCAGGCTGGCTTCCAAGCAAGCCCCAGATGCACATCCTCCATGGGTATGTATTTCAGTAGGCATCCCTCAAAGATACGGACTTTTTCCTTAAATGTGACATAACACCGCATCCTGCTTTAAAACCTCGCGGTTCCCTAACATCAGATATCCAGCCGGCACTGAGATCGTCCCAGTCGTTTCTACACTCGGTTTGGTTTCATCAGGATTTAAACCGGGGCCTCACATAGCATCGGACGGGCCTGTCCCTCACATCTCTGCCCCGTGGGCCCGGCTCCCTCCTTACTCCCCTGGCAGTGTGCTTGCGGAAGACACCCGCCCGCTCGTGGACCCCGTCTGTGGCATGTGCAGGCGGGGCGTGGGCTCCAGCCTCGGAAGGGCCCGGCGGAGGCAGGCGTGACCACGGGGCCCACTGCTTCCTGAAGGCTTGGAGGACGGTGACGCTTCTCAGTGTTTGCAGAGGCAGTAGGTAAGCAAGCATGAAGCTGCTGGGCCCCACACTTTTTACAAAAAGTAAACCCCGAGGCAGCTACAGATGGAGAAGGCTTTTCATTCGGCATCCGGATATGAAATCTGCCCACCAAGAACTAAAAGAGTAGTAGTAGTAAATAGTTTAAATAAATAAGACGAATTTTAATTTTAAAATGCCTGTCACATTCCTGTTTAAGATAAACCCTCGGCAGATTGAAGTATTTTGCTCGTTCCCACGTGAAAGGGACGACACAGTTTGTTTCTCGGAGGGCGGGGAGGGTTCCGGTCCGGAGCGCCGGGCAGAAGCGTGGCGCTCTAACCCACGAGCATGTTGGGGCCTGTGCACAGGAACTGAAACGGGGACAACGCTCTCGGTGTCTCGTACCGCTTCCACATCCTCTGGTAACTGAGTGCATGAAAACGGAAGCTTGGATTCGCAACTAAATTGTGTTAGAACTGAAAGACTCAGTGTCTTTCTGTCTGATTCCCGTGAAACACAGAATGATGCCGTGTCCCTGACTCAGTCTCCCGATCAACACGGGTCCAGTGCGTCTTCGAAGGCAGCCGGAATCCCTAACCGACAGTGGGGGCTTGAGGCTACTCGCGGGCAGCGACACGCACGACAGTGTGCGGCCGGGTAGCAGGGGTCTACCAGGCCCCCCACGAACATTCGCAGGGCCTGAGGCAGCCACTCAAAGGGAGCCGCACGTGTGTCTACATCCTCAGAAAGTACAAGCCTAGTTCAAAAGCTGTTTATTCTACAGCCACCTCCGTACGCACACAGCTTGACAGGGGTACGTCCTTAAAGAGCAAAGAGGTCCAGACCAGCTGGACCCGGAAGCCCATCTCCTACCGGCTGGGACCATCCCTCACCCCTGCTGGGGCCTTCTGGAACCTTCTAGAGCCTTCCCAAGGGCCTGCCTCAGCACCCAGAAGGGCTCCTCCAGGACCCTTACCGGACTCCGTGCACGTGTTTTCTGCATAAACCTCCGGCCATACCTTGGGCACAGCTGACAGCAGGGGGGCCGCAGGTGAGCCGGGCCCGGTGGGGCATGGCAGTCCTGCTGTTACAGGAGACAGAACAGTTACCGAGAGACGGAGCTCACGGCCACGGAAGCCAGGCACAGGAGGGACATCGGGGCACCAGGGCCTCCCTGGGAGCCGAGCATCTCCACCTGCAAGACAACGGTGTTCTTAGAAAGATGTACGGTGTGGTGCGGACCAGAGGCTCTCTCCCTTCCTGGTGTCCATCGGGCATGTGCCGTCCCCCGAGGACGATGCAGCACCTGTCACACCGAGGGCCAGCCACGTGCTCAGTCGTATCAGAGAGGAGGTCCCCAGAGCCAGACCCAGAGCGGAGCAGAGCAGAACGGGGCAGGATGAGGACAGCCTGAAACACAGGGTCTGCTCACACGGAGCAGTGGCGCCGAGGAGTACTTTGGGCTGAATCATTACAGAAGCACACAAAGATTTTTCAAAGAGAGGCCAGACCAGCATCTAGAGTACATCTCGGAAATGAAGAAAAAGTCATCTACAGGATGACTGGCCGACTCTTTCCTGGGCTCGGGGTGAGGAGCCGCCGGGGAGGCCACCCACAGGGGATCTGAGGTCCTGGAGGCCGCTCCGAGCCGTCGCCTGCGCTGGACCCCAGCTCGCCGAGGCAGAAGCCTGGCGCGAACATCCCGCAGGGGAGGGTGGCCACTCGCCAGCCTGGGGAGGCCCTGCCGCTCCTTAGAAAGACACGGCGGAACTTAGACCCCACAAACCAACGACTGTACAATTTACTTTTAATGTTTTTCCTCTGTATCTTACCCTAAGCCAAGCTCTCGTCAACGCCTAGTTTGGCAGGAAGGAGGAGTTTCCCACAATAGTAAGAGTTCTGGTGGTTCGGGGGACCATTGGCAACACGCAAATAAACGTGTGTGCAATAGGGAATCTCTTGTTCACAAGTGTGTCGTAGGGTGGAATGTCCGTCTGCTCGAAGCCCAAGCTCTGTGGCCCCCCGAGGGCGCTCCCCCACCCACGCAACGCTGACGGCAAGTGGCATCAGCAGTCGGGCTAGCTCACCGCGTCTGAACAGCCCGGCGGGCCTGGTTTAAAGGAGGAAGGAGCCCCACGGCATGTTTCTGCCCCGTGAGACGTGTTCCCGAGGGAGACGTGGTGAGCCCTCGATTACGTTCCAAGCACCTGCGGAACGTGGCTTCGTGGGCCGTCGCACACGGGCGGGCGTACCTGGAGGTGTGAGCCTGTCTCCCCCCCCGCCCCGGCCCATCCGGCTGCAGACGGGGCCACCCCGACGGCTTCTGAAAGGTTTGGAATCCAGATTTAAGGAGTTAGGCAGTGAAGGCATCACTGATTCTGACAGGACGCCTGAGGCCGGGGACGACACGCGGCGCGGGCCCCAGGCGGTGCTGAGGACCATGGTGGCCACCGCCCTGCCCTCGCGAGCGCGTG